GGGAAAGGTGTATCTGTTGTCAGAGCACCTGGTGTTTCCACTCATATTTATTATGCCAAGACCACTACAATCTCAACATGGGAAGATACTGATGCCTGTTTGAATTGGAGACTAATACATGATGAAGAAGATAGAAAAGACTAGAGGTGGGCCAGTGAAAGCTCTTCTGTCTTCCTGCCACCTCTGCCTTGTGCACCTCCGTGGACAATCTTGGCCACAGCAACACTTCCCAAGAGAGCATGCAGTCAGGCCAGCTCTGAAGGGTGCACACCAAGGTCACTTGGTGTCAGCTCAACAGAAACAGGTGGAATTATGTCAGTTGGCACCAGATGAGAATATGGGGACACAGACCTGGGTGGATGGATGATGATACATGATGGTTATGGTCAGCCTGGCCACTCCACCTAGGTCCTGCTGGCAAAATATGGGAGGAGACAATGGGTAACTCCAGGTCTTCCCCCCTGAGTCACCTGAACTTCTGCACCAGGAGAGGAAATAGCCAGGTGGTTGTGAGGTCTGTCCCCCTCCTGGTGAACACACCTGGTAGCAGCCACCAATCCACTGCCAGGGCTTGATTCTCCCCATGACACTGCAGCATCACACGGGTCCTGTCCCAAGCAGCAGCATTGGTCTGTGTAAACCCAAGGTCACCAGAGAATCAGGCCTTGCAAAAGTTCATTTGTTCTTCCTGGTGGAGCTCCTGGGGCTGATCCCTCTCCAGCGTTAGATGGTTTCCACTCAGCCTGCCTGTACACACATGGGGATGACGACAGAAGACTCTGACCCCGTTCCTGCTGGGCAAGGAGAAGGTCAGAGAGAGGTTTGACAGCAGCACGTTTTCAGCAAGTGAGGAAGAGGCAGGCCCTGGGCACCGGAGAAGGGAGAGCCCTCAGTTTAGATACCCACACTGGCCAGAAGACTTTATCAATGGGAAAAGAAAAGCCTAGGAACAGCATGGCCAGGGCAGGACAGGGATCCCCCTCAAGCTTCTTCAAGCAACAGGCACCCTCAGGCTCTGACTCCACTTTGCTCCTCATTAAAGGTTTGTCGTTCCTGACTTATTCTGAGGACACACTTGAGAAGCAGCCCCAGCCGCACACCCACGCCTGCACACGCACACACCGAGGGAACCGTGGTCAAAATATACACTATAGACAGAAGAGTCCGTTCACACTAGAGATATGTACAGAGTCCTGGGCACAGTCTGGCAGCTCAGCTGGGCTGGGGCTGAGTGTGGGGTGGGAGGGGGTGAGTGGAAACACCTCAGGGCTTCAGGCACTTCCCCTTCTTCTCCCGCCGCTGCAGTTTCCGCAGGCGGCGCGTCCAGGCGTCCCGCCACTGGATGACCAGGCTGTTCTTGTCAGCCATCAGTCCCGGTCGGTCGGTGGAGTTTTCACTGATCCCCATCACCAAATACTTCTTGCTGATTTGGATCTTGGGGCACTTGCAGGAAAGGTCCTTCAGGTGGATCCACAAGAAGTTGTCGCCGCGCTTGACCCGCTCATCGCGGCACTTGTAGACAGAGAGGATGTTGATGGTGAACTTGGCCCAGTTGGCCACTGTCTCCATTTCCAGGATGTTCACTTGGACCACTGAGGGAAAAGAGGGGGAGGCATCATGACTGGAGATGCTTTACCTTGCTCCCCAAAGGAAGCTTTGGTGACAGGAAGGGCCCATCCCCAGCAGCCCCAACAGTCTCATCCCTTGTACCTTTGGGAGGGCTGATTTGGGGACCCCTCTCCACAGTGGATGCTCCCCATCCCCTGGGACATCTGTGTCTCCCTCATGCATGGCCAGCCTGCAGCTAGCCCTTGGCTGCCTCTGCAGCAAAGCCCAGCATGGCCCAGAGGGGGAAGAGGTCCTTACCATAGTCCTTCTTGCAGTACTTCTTCATGTTAATCTTGTAGTTCCCCTTGGCTGGCTTGCAGTAGGAGTCACAGTCTGTGAAGGAAGAACAGAGGGTTGAGCACTGAGGGCCTTAAAGCATGTGAGGTGCCATCCCACCCTAAGGGAAGAGGGAACAGGGTGGAGGGGACAGCAGCAAGAACCATCCTGGAGATGGTGGTGAGTATTCCACATCCCACCATCCTCTAGAAGACTCCTGAGTCCACCTGGATTGCTGCTGGGGGTGGGTGTCTGGCAAGCCCAGCTGCCCCCCTGGCAGCACACAGGGGCTAGGGGCTCAGATTCCAGCATGAACACTGACATCACATCAACCAAGACGAGACATCAAGTGGCTTTGGGCCCATTGAGCATTCTGTGTCACCTCCTGTGCTGCTGAAGCTCGTGTTCTGAAGGATAAATCAGCACAGGGGGGGTTGAGGCAGCCTGGAGACTCTCCTCTGGGATGTGGAAGGGGATGGATGGAAGAAATGCAGGTGAGGCTATGGTGGCTACCATGGAGAGCAGGCAGGGGTCATAGCTAAGGAGGGTCAACCAGAACAGCTTTGGCCCTGCAAACCTGAACAACATGGGGAAGAGAGGACTCAGCACCAACCCCACAGGGAGAAAACCCAAAGGAAGGTCTGACCCCAGGCCAAGGGATCATGATTCTCAGGAGTGACCCAGCCCTCAGGGCCCAGGGTGGTGAGAAGCCTCCTCATGGGGCAGCCCCTCCTTGTCCCAAAAGTGGGCAAGGGGGCTCAGGCTGGAGGAAGCAGGTGGGTGAGGGAAGGGGCTCTGCTCTGCCAGGTTGCTCCTGATGCCTGAGCATGCCCTGCTCCTGGCTGGGGTGGCCACCAGGCTTTTCTCCACCCCTCCATTCCTTCTTGCTGCCCCGCAGCTCCAGGCAGGGCTCATCTCCTCAAGGAGGCTTTTCCCTGTGCATTTCTAAAGACCTCGGATTTGCATCTCAAGCAGAGGGAGGGCAGGGAATGCCTCTCTCCTTCTCCCAAAGCCTTTGATCCCAACAATTGCCCGAAGCAGCCCCATTTTCCTCCTTTCTTTCCCCTGACACCATCCACCTTTGAACATCTCAATCTGTCTCTTTCCCAACCGCGTGTTTTTTCTAAGCTCATCTTTCTTCTCTCCCCTCGCCCCGGTAGGTTCTCTCTGGCTTGGCCCCGTGTCCCGGGACAGAGCCAGCAGAGCCTCCAGTTCTCTTTGTTTGCAGGTTGCCACAGCGATGGCTGGGGATGGAGGCGAGGGACTGGGGGAAAACAGCGCCCTGTGCCAAAGGGAGGAGGAGAAACGAGGACAGCAAGAAGCCCAGGAGCTCAGGCCGGCGCTGGGCTCTGCTGCTCCCCGGTCTGCCCGGCTCCTCCTCATCCGCGACTTTGTACCGCCTGGTTTGTCCTCGGTAGAAGCGGCTCAGCCTGGAGCTGGTTCTTGGCACAGGAAGGGGAGCCCTGGTGCTCAGCTCAGCCCCCCCGAGCTGCCCACCCACTGGGCTGGCAGAGCTGCCCTGGCCCCGCTGTGTCCCCCGGGGCAGCCGCGGTGGCTGCGGAGGGGACCGGG